AGATAAAATGTACATAAAGTATATTTTATGTATAAAATATTGGATGATGATTCTTATCCTCCTTTGCCAAATCCACCTTAACTCCTCCCAAAATTTAAGTTTCCCAAATTTCTCTATTATTTGAATGTTTACCATTTGCTACACACCAACATTCTTTAAATCCAGTTTCATGATTTAGTTATGCTGATAACTGCCATACAATTATTTATATACAATTTGGATATTTACTCAATGGTCATGTTGAATCATTTTCATCATGCTGACTTCTTCAGTAACAGGGCTTGGGTCTGGAAATTCTTACCTTGAAAAAAGTTATACTTATTCCACATAACACATAGAAAATAATTTCTGAATATTAAAGATATTATAAAGACATATTGATAATGACATTATAATTACATTCTATATCTCAGCATTGTCGTGGTTTCAAATTTCACATGTGTTTTTAATATTCACAACATGATATAAGCTTATGTACATACAAGTTTACATATTACATTACATTATACGAGTTTATGTAACAAACCAGCACGTGTACTCCTGAACTTAAAATAAAAGTTAAAAAAAGAATATTATTCTTTAAATAAGAGACTCATAGGGAACTAATGAATAAATTTATCTCAAACATTTGATAACTTTAACATTCACAGCTTATGTTTCTCAGTAGATTGTCTTAGGAAAATAAAAAGACTTGCCAAAACTAGAAGAAAACGTAAACTATAACAAACATATAGACAGCAATGTGTTAATATCCAGAATATGTAAAAATAATATAGATAACCCAATTCAATAATGGACAAAGTATTCAGACATTATAGGAAATATGACATGAAAATATGAAAACATGGCTTATTTATATAATGCTTAATCTTGGTAATCAGGGAAATGCTAGTATAGGTAGAACAGGATGACATTTTACGTTAGCCAGTTTGACAATTTAAAATACCAATCACAAGTGTCAGAGAAATTACGGAACAAAGGGGACTCTTGTACATGACTTGTAATTAATGAGATGGGGACGGGGACTTAGAAGTCACTGCCTCGCACTCAATGAGGTTACTCAATTCACTAGTCAGTAGTGTCTGCTGTAAGTTTCACAATCATTTTGTGCTTTTTGTGAGAGTAATAGTTTAACAAAAATATGATTTTTATCAATCTCACAAAAAATTTGACCTAATATTTTGTGGGATTGAATTCCTTAAGACCCCATTATTTTATTATGGCTGAGTTTCCTGTGTTTTCTTTTGTAGATACGTATAGCGGCTCTAAAAGACACAAAGATTTTGTAACATTACCCCTGGGAGTGAAGGGGGAGAAAGTTTTTTTTTTTTTTTTTACTATATATTACTTTTGAATTTTACCCTAGGGAAATGTATTATTTTTCTGTAACAAAATTAAAATATTAAAGTTTTAAAAGTTTTAAATTAAAGTAAAAATTTCAGCAGATGAGAGATTCCATCTCTAATCAGGGGCTAATGACTGATTCCACCATAAACTAGGCACTATACAAAACTATCATTTTCAAACATTAGACAATCAGCAACTAGGGACTGTTTTTTTCCAGTTGAGAAGAAAACCAAACCACTTAGGACCTACAATAGCCCCTGATTTCTTCCTGGGGATACTTACTGGACCACACCATAGACAGCAGAACCCAGACAGAGCTTGGAGATATCCCTGACTTGAAGAGAGAGAAATATTATTTTAGGAGGCTAAGTGGGCGTCTCACATTTAAGGAAGGACCCATACAAAGAAAGAGCTCCAAATATCAGCACAGGCTTCCCCTGCATGATGATTCAGGGACTGACTAACTCAGTGAGCATCTACCCCTGGATCTCATATGTAATTTCCCTCCTGCATG